ACCTCAACACGGAACAGGCCGTGCCACCTAGGTGCGCCGGGGAGAACTACAGGTCGCATAGTGCCACCAGATGTCGCGCAAACACGACAGGCGCAGATAAATAGATTTTAGATCGTGGGTGATATATTGTAACAGCGTTGATTTCTACCATGCATGTATTTTAGCAACTAACAGCATGGGCGCAGGCACTGGAACCACAACGGCTACCACAACTGCACGTAAGTATGTCCGACATACGACTTATGTTTGGACTCTAGGCAACGCTGCCCAAGCGGCCTTTTCCGTTAGGACGCCGAGCGACGGAGTGCGCGCAGCAATTTTTTTTTGTTTTTTTTTTGTCTCCCTCTGTTCTTTCTAGGGCGTCTTTCAGAAGAGCCCAGGAAGGGGCCAGGGGTCGAGGCCAGCCAATGCCAAAACACCGAACTGTAGCTCCGCCCGGACTCACTTAGCAACCTTAACGCTAATCTCAGTTCACGAATGGTATCTAACAGTTTTTCGCGAATAACTTTTGAAAGATGCATGCTAGAGCGATGAAAATACCTTAGTTGTGTTTGGCTCGACGATCAGATCGACTGATATGCAACATGACAATTTCCGGTCAGATCGTGACCTTGACCTGAGGTCGAATTTTTAAGTTGACCTTAAAGGTCAAATTGTAGCTAATTTGATGCGTCTTGACGAGAGGAACACGATGTCGGTAGAAGAAAGCTCGTGCAAGGCACGAGTCAAAAGTTATTGCAGAAAAACTGTTCCCAAAAAATCGTCTATTTTGGTAGTTTTTGCCCCTTGCAGGCAAAACCGTTGACGTTGGGTCAAATCTAAGAGAAATAACCAGAAAGCATGCTAATATGGCTATCAAATGCGCTTTTCCGCGGTGCTGTAGCTGTAATTGATTCCCGAGTTATGCGTCGGCATCTTGTAAACTGTCGATATTCGACCTGAAAATAGGCAAAATTTGGCCTTCACCATGACCTGTCCATTGACCTGACCAAAAAAGCGGCCGAGGTTATTTCGTCATTATTTTTGACGCTCTTTCGAACGTAGATGGATTATGGGGTGCAAAAAGATATGTTTGCCAATGCATACCTATGTTTTTGGATTGAAATTGAGGGTGCAGCTGCACACCGAGCACTCCCTCTTCCGCCGCCCCTAGGGCTGTTCACGACGTCGGTTTATGTGGTTTACATAAACTGCCCTCGGGGCACGATCCCGGCTGTGACGTCACACGGCATTTACGTTTACGAAACACGAGTGTTTACTTAAACAGTGACAACTAATAAGCAGTTGAGACGATACTGTAAAAGGTGCAAAGAAAAGATAATCTGATGGAAATATGTCCATTATCATGACATATTGCAAGAATAAGGACAGTTTTCATCACAAAATACCCATGACGCTAGACGCTGGTTAGCAGAGAACGATGCTCAAAATAGGTCTTAATTACAATGAAATAATAAAACCTACCATTCCAGTCCTCTGCAACCCGTACAGAGTTATTTTGAAACTCATTTACCCACCTACCGGCTACCATCCCCTGAACTGTCCGAATTTAATTTTCCTTACTCACAACTCGCCTCACGAGTTTGCCGCACATCGCCATCATTGTCACATAAACGCGTTTACGCGCCATGTTGATGCTCTGAGGCATCAACCGCATAAACGGTTTACGGCGGAGGTCTGACGTCATTGACGAGCTGTGACGTCAGGATCGGGTCGACGCTGATTGGTCCTTCAAAAAATAAACATGTTTACGGTTTATTAAACGGGATAAACCGACGTCGTGAACAGCCCTCCTGATTTCTTGCCACAAACGTCTTCAACCGCTCCCGAATGAAAGAATGTACGTTAATGTTGATATATTCTCATTTTGTGGAGGTTGGGCAAGGCCTGACCACTACTGGGGCATTCCTCGACTCTACTGGGGCATTTGCCCCAGTAGTTAAAGGGACCCTCCCACCTTCAAAAAAGTTCATGAATTGGCATGAAAGTGATGTCGCTCGGTTCAGAAAGAGCAAAAACGAATATCTACCAAATTTCATCGAAAAATATTTACCGGTTTTCAAGATATTATACTTTTACTTTTGTTTACTTTTTGGGATCTCCGCTGTTCCTAGCGACTTTATTTGAAAGTGCGGCATTTGTTGCGCGCAAAGCAGCATATACCACTGCGTGCTACAAAACGTTTTAGTCAAACATTTAACGGACGTTCGAAAGCCTGATGACGTCATCAGATTCCCGTAATGGTTAAGAGATAGGGACCACGCTGGTCCCACCCTGCAAGTAAAGGGAAGAAATTTCTTGAACACCATAAAACTGCGGGGGTTGCGACCAGGATAAATGGTGGTTTCTGAGCCTGGCCGCAAACTTGGCTATCTCAACTCAAAACTAATGTTAAGGTGGGAGGGTCCCTTTAACATGTTAGCCGAGGCCCTGCGTCGTATATCTCCGGAACCAATAGCCGGATCGGGAAAATTCAAACGGCATTCGAAAGAGCCCATCGAGATGCACAAAGTAAGATATCGATGACCTCAATATTTGACCTGTCACGTCACAGGAAAGGAAGGTCAAACAAGGTCAACTCAGACCAAGCTACAGTGCCGAGAAGTCGGTCTTAAAAAGAAACCTCAGTTTCTAAAATGAGTCCAGATGTGATGTTTATGATAGATGTGACATGTGAATAGTCATCTAAATGGGTGATGACTTGTGACGTCACAAGGGAGGTCAGTCTCGACTAATCAGAAGACGCTAATGACCCTAATGTTTGACCTTAGAGGTCAAGCTCCAGGTCAAAGGACGGGGTACCCAATAACGCCCCGCATTATTGCCCTAGCGGGTTAAAAAGTGGTCATACATGATAGCTCGTCACCGTGGGCAGCCTCCGTGAGCATGACCTTGACCTTAACCTTTGACAATTGACATTCAAGGTCAAATTTGAGGTCAAACGACGGGGTACCCAATAACGTCTCGAGTTTTTGGAAGGACCGGGCTAAAGACCAGGGGTGGACAATTGTGCCGAGTTGGGGTAGCACGAGTCTTCCCAATTCCACGCCGGCTGCGGCTGCGCCGGCTTGGCTTTGGAGCCGCACCAGGCAGCGGAGGTCAAGGTCACCGCCAGGGCGGCGGCGGATTTGCTGCGCCCGTGCAACCCCAACTCGGCAGGGCATATTATAACGAATTTTTACTGCGTCCCAAAGTTGAGCAGAGGGCACGTGCTACGACTAAAGGGCACAGGGCAAGGATCAGAGTAGGGCACTGGGCAGTGGGCACTGAGGAGGGCAGAAAGTAGGGCACGGCAGGTTACAGGGCATGGCACAGGACATTTTAGAGGAAGGGTACAGGTCAGGTCACACAGCAGGGCACAGGTCAGGGAACCGGACAGGGCACAGGGCAGGGACGCAGTGGGTCAAATCAGCAGGGGCTACGTCCCAAGGCGAGGGGGCTGCGTCCCAGAATGGGACGCAGTAAGTGCCTTAAAATATGCCCTGCAACTCGGCCTATTTCTCCACCCCTGCTAAAGACGGTCCCAAATGGGGTTGTTTGAGACGTGGCAGATCAACTCTCGTTTTTGCCCACTCCATCTATGGGTCGGAAATGACGCCTATCTTTAACCTTGTGTTTGACCTTGAAGGTCAAGGGCTAGAGCCGAGGTCAGGTAGCGTAGGCTAGCCAACGAAGTTGACCGTCGTTTGGGACCGTTTTAGCCCGGTCCTTTCATAAATTCGAGCTGTTATTGGGAACTCCGTCGTTTGACCTCAAATTTGACCTTTGAAGGTCAAAGCTCAAGGTCAGGGTTATGGTCACGGAGGCTGTCCAAGGTGACGAGCTATCATGCATGACCACTTTTGAACCTGTTGGAGCAATAATTCGGGACGTTATGCCGTTTCACGACCGCCATCTGGTACACATTTGGTGCACATCTGTGCAGATCAGGTGCAGATTTGGTCAAATCAGGTTCAGTGTGTCTCATTAGTAGCTATTGCAGCTAGGGTTACACTAACTGCTTATATGCCTGTTTTGTCGTATTATCAGAGAGCATCATCGATTAAAACAATGAAATTCATGAAATGAAGATATTTGCTGTAAAAGAGATTAGGTGCAGATTTGGTCAAATTAGGTGCACTCGCCGGATAGACCGTCGTGAACACGGCTATTGGGTACCCCGTCCTTTGTCCTTGAGTTTGACCTCTAAGGTCAAACTTCTAATGTCAAACATTAGGTTCAATGTCAATGAGAATAAAATGTAACCCGAGTAAACGAGCATTCACTGGAATGGTTGTTTGAGCCGTGACAATTTGACCTTGAATATGATCTAAAAAATGTGTTTTATGTGAATTTTTAGAATTAGCGTGTCTTACTCATTGGCCCCAATGTCCTACTTGACCTGATAAAGAGTATTCAGCATTCACCTCTAATAGCTCGGTAGTAATCCATGGCTCGGTCATGGAATCCATGGCTCGGTCAATGATATTCAACGAATTCTGAATCCGACGCTGAATCCGTCACTGAATACGTCACTATCTTCACGCACGTAATTATACAACCTTGAATTTGTTGTGATTTGTCTGAAATTGGGCGTTGTTGTTTGGTGCGTGCGGTTTCCTGTGTGGCGTAAATGACGAGTCTTGGAATTCTCAGACAATATCATGAGTTGGAATATTGACGACTGATGCCATTGATGTGTCAGCTAATTTGAATTCCAGGACAAAATTTCGTTAGTCTGGACAATTCTTTGTGTGTCTGTTTTCAACCAGAATAAATGGAATAAACAAAGCATAATCTAACTTGTATTGACCTAGCCCTGCCCCTAACATAGCCTTAGCTTGAAATTTGACTCAATGATCGGAACTTTAACGAAGTATACCTAATGGACAAAAATTTGCGCTGATGAAAACTTGGACATGCTGAGTAGCTACCTACGTCAGCCTCATGTCACTTCAGTATGTTAAAGTCACAGTTCAAGTTGAGGTAGTGAATAAAAAACATTCAAAATTCTTAATTGTGACAGGATAGCAATTAGCTATTGAAAAGTTTGGTAACGAGGAAACTCAGTAAAGTAAAATATTATAACAATGCTGTGGTTGGAACAAGTGGAATATATTCTGGCAGACCTAGGAAATAAATGATCTTAAAAGTAAAAAGCAACAGTTTGTGTTGCATACCCATAACCCAAAATAATATATAAAAAAAGCTTTCAACTCACATAGTTAGGACTTAGGAGTTCTCCCATGACCAAACCATCAAACATGTTTTGAGTGCCTCAAAGTGGTATAGCTCTTTACTTTCTTACATTTGCCAGACTAAAGGACAAGATCACATCAACCTATTGTGTGCCAACGCTGCAAATGGCTCAGAATGAGAAGGATCATGTACGATTGTGGGTGTGGGCCATGCATATGCACACTTTTGTATGAATAACCTTAACACTGCAATGGCAATGAGATCTGGCAATACCATGTTGATATGTCTGACCAAGCCCATGTTTCAACCCAGTCAACAAAGTAAAAAAAAAAAATCAAAAGGATTTCAGTATCCTATTATGCACAACTAAGCTTACTTGCTTATTATTCTAGTCTTGAATGTAAATAAGGGTACAATGTAGCTCAGATAGAAGTATATGATATGATTCAATTACTATGGTACCATGTTTCCTGTCTTCTAGTCATAAACCTTTAAACTATGTGGAATGGATACAACAATTGACTATAAGTTCACCAGATATTGTGCTGATGTTCTTAGCTTAGCTGACAAAAGTGACTTTGGTGCATATTAACTCATAAGCTGACAACCTCATCGCAACTTAAATATCACTGTGATGAAATTTCACATCTTTTCTTAGTTCTTACCTACCTATATTTTTTAACTTCCTTCTGACTTGGAACAAATAACTTCACTGGATAAATTTAATATAGCCTTGAATGTTACTTATCTTATTAACAAATAGCAATTCAGCACTAAGGTCCAACAATAATGAGAACCTCATTCCATTCAAGACTGGTGCATACATGTAGATAATATTGATTTTAAATGTTGAATGTTACTTTCATTACTCTTTAATTTCAGACTGAATTCACTTGACAGGAAGTGGAGCATTTCAGCTCAGAAAAAGCGAAGAATATGGCTGATCCCAAATATGCAAACCTCCCTGGGCTGGTAAGTTCAGTCTCCTTGAAAACTGTGCTGTGTTAGCTTCTGTTACCTCCATTTGCTATTTTCTTGTGTCTGCTGTTCATCCTGTGAACTTGACTTATAAATAATTTTCATGACTGCTGTGTAAATGTTGAATCAATTGAACATTATTGCCAAGATAATAAAATTTTCTTAGCATTATTTATCTCTTAAATTTTGTAGTCATCAATATGCTGTTTTTACATTTTAATTGTACAATATGAGTGCTGCTAAACTACTTTCACTGCTGACCTGCATTTACTATATCCATGAACTTTATAATGTAATGTCATTATTGTTCTCTCAGAGTCGCTGACACTGTGTGCCCCTCCCCAGGCGCCGGATGACGAGCCGGACACGTACGAGACGGATGACCGGCCCGAGGCGGAGCAGGACCTCTGGATCGAGGTCGGTACCGAGCGGGAGGGAGCAGGCCGCCGAGACGTGGGGTGTGGCGTACCTAATCGACATCGCGTTGTAACATACTGAGTCGCCTTGCAATTTGTGGGCTGGGTTGGGGGTGACAAGAGTAGGGGAGAATGTCGTTGCAAGGTTTTCCAGGGTTGCAACTCGCAACCCTATTAATTGTTACAAGAGTAGTAATTTGCATGATACTGTATGATACTGACCCAGCTTTCATTTGCGCAGGACGAGAGTGAAAATGTGGAGAAGCTGCATGTTTCGACCTCAGAGGCCTTTGAGAAGTTCAAAGACAAGAATCTGGATGGCAAGAAGGCCGACTTTTCCGACCGGCTGCGTAGGGGACGCAATGTAGGTGCTACAGCCGTACAATGGGGACGCTAAACTTATCAAGAATATCGCATATTGATGGAATATACCGGGCAGTATTGGTGGCCTCGGCATCATAGGTCGCTCATATCAACGCCGTTGAATTTTCCGAGTCTATATTCGTACATAAGAACTAATTTCTCTACCCTTGGAGGGTATGATTAGCAGTGTTAGTTGACGTCATATTTCCATACGCTTCATCTGTCACCATACGTCCCTAGTGCCGAAGTCTGCGAGTGTTTTAGTCTGGCCCACCGTTTTCCCCGGCCACAGACGGGTTACGCGGCGCGCACCGGCCAATGGGAGCTGGCCGGCGAGGGCCAGCCGGAGACGGTGGTGCAGAAGTACCAGCGGCTCCAGCTGGAGCTGCAGCAACTCGATCAGGAGATTGCCGGTGAGGGCGCGACGGGGGCCGGTGGAGAGGCTGAACTATCCACTGGGGTGAAACAAGGCTTGCGGTTCTCATACACTACTTCGGATCGCAGCCAGCGAAAGCAGCCAGAAGGGAGGAGTGGTCAGAAAAGGAGGGGAAAAATTGATTACAGCACAATCTAAGCCTGGGCGGCCACCTTTGTCTACCTGAACTATGGAGTTCAGCTCGGAATTCATGCAATTTCTTAAACAACATTTTTATGCTATCTCCCAGGCGCCGACACCGGCCGCCCCACTAACCGTAAATATATGTTAAAAACCCCAACCATCTCTTCGCGGCTAACCTCTGGCACTCCGCCGCAGATCTCCAGTCGGGTCTGAAGCCGGACAGCGGCGCTGAGGAGCGGTCGGCCGCGCAGCTGGGCTCCGAGATGGACGCGCTGCACGGGCACCTGGCGGAGGTGAATCTGGAGCAGCTGCTCGGCGCACAGGTGCTGAGCGAGCTCGGCGACCCGCAGGGAGCGCTCCGCAGGTGAGTCGAGGGGGAGAGGGGAGGAAAGGATACCTTGTGATAATCGGGTGAAAATGGATTAGATATGATAATATGGCATCATATTTTGCCGTTCAGCTTTTCCTGTGATTTGCGTCTTAGTGGCTGGCTGGTCTGACCGAACTGGTACATGTTGACCCTCAGTAAGCTGGAGCAGCAGCTGTCTCAGCTGGCGGGAGGGGCGGGCGGCGCGGTCACCAAGCCGGCCTCGGGCGCCGGCGACGCTAGCGCCACCTACGAGCTGCACCTGCGCCCGGAGAAGGCGCGCGCGCAGCAGGCGGCGGCGCTGGGCGAGCTGGAGAAGCGACTAGAGAGGATGGAGCGGGCCGTCGGCGCCGCGCCCGATAAAATGGTTAGTGACTGGTGGAATGGAAAATTACGATAATCGCTTGGAGGTTAGTGAAGAATGGCGAAAAGACTCATCAAACGTTCGTACCGATTACCGTATCAGTGTCTGTGTATGTGTCACACCGAGAGGCAGTAGATGATTCGTTTAGCTGTGCTGATGATATGACCGTGGCGATTATTTTGTACCGTACCGCTCTGTGAACACGCGTACTTGCTCTCTCCCTACTACAGCTGAAGCTTATGTCTTTATTACTTCGTTCTACTCTAACGGGTCACCGTCGCTGGGCATTTCCTAACCTACTCTGATGTCTGCTTCCACCCCGAACCGGAGACTGCGGGGTCCTCACTTGCCGGGCCCTGACGCCTGCCCCCCCTCCCCTTTCCAGAGTCGCCTGTCTGCCGAGACCCGGCAGCGCTCGCTGCTCTCAGCAGTAGCCGCCCTCAGCTCCAAGGTAGCTCTGCTCGAGCCAGCCACCCTGGAGGCGGCCGAGGCGCGTCTGCAGGCCCTCCACCAGCGGATGAACCAGCTGTCGGAGCAGCGACAGGCGGGCGTCGACGCCGAGAAAATGACCAAGGTGATGCGCCGAGACGGTCGGCAGGATCACGGAGATAGGCGGTCAATGTTGGGATTGTGTTTGACGGAACGCTCAGCGCTGCAGATGATGAGACTGTGAGTGTGATGGAGGATCAGGTGCGCTATATAAATGGAGACTGGTTTGGAGAGGCGAGACTGCGATGTAAGTATGTTGAGGGCCACATTGGGAGAGGAATTGTTGTAGTGGTGGCTGGGAATGATCCAGCGAGTTACCAGTATGCTAGGTAGGAGTGTATAGTACCAGTAAAACGCCTTTTGGGCGAAGAACGAGCGAGCGAGATAGTGAGCCCTGCACGTGCGGAAGGGCGAGAGGGTACTTCCAACGGGGCTTGTGCAAAGCACCTTTCTAACCGGTCGCTAGCGGTGTGCCAAATTTGAACGCAATCGGCCCAGCCGTTCCTGAGATCTGGAAGCGCTGACTTTTGCACGGCACCCTACTAACCGGTCCCCAACCGTGTACAAAATTTGAGCGCAATCGGCCCAGCCGTTCTCGAGATCTGGAAGCGCCCCCTGCACGTGCGCACGTGCAGTAGCACCCTAACCGCAACACATGGGAATGCATTGCCTGGTGGGTGCCTACCTGTATGCCAAGTTTCAGCGAAATCGCCCCAGTAATTACCGAGTTATTGAAATGGGAACAAATTTGGCACCTCTTCTTTTTTTTATTTTGCACGTGCAGTGGGGGTCACTCACATAGATCAAGAGTATCCGACCTTTGGTAGAAGGGATGCAGCTACCCTACAAAAATTACCGCAAGACAATCGCCAAAGCGGCTGCTGAGATATGAGCCTCTCAAAATTACTACTTTTGCAAAACAGCTTGAACACCCTTGACTTTTCACGTGGCACGTGCCACGACGGTCACTGAGATGTGTCAAAAGTAGTCAATTACGGGGTAGAAGGGATGGGGCTACCCAGCAAAAAAGACCGCAGGCCAATCGGTCCAGCGTTTGCTGAGATATAAGCCTCTCAAAAGCGTTACAGGCCGGGCCGGGCCGCTCATACTGAGATATTTTTTCCGTTATATTGAAAAGACTTCGCTTCGCTCGCTGCGCTCGTAATAAAACTGTTGGCGATTGGCTGGCTGATACCTGCCCACTGCCCAGTTTTATGGTATTTGACAGCACGCTGTCACTTGCCGGCGGCTGGTCTGGGCTTCCCATCTAACCCGCTCCTCTCCCACTTTCTTTCAGATTTCTGAGCTGCACGAGCTGATGCAGAGGACGGCTGGCGTTCAGGGCGAGTTGCCCGTCATCCTGGACCGGCTGACCTCCCTGCAGGGACTCCACGATCACGGTCAGTAGGAGGTGGCAGTCTGGCTAAGTTGTGCCCGGCTGTGGTCTGAAGCTGCCGCGGGGAGCCCGCTGAGTGAGCGATGGGACTATTGGGACAGTAATTGTTATCTGACTTGGATAGGGATTATTGTACTTTTTGAAGGCGTTGATTATTTCTAGCCGTCGTTCTTTAAAAGTGTCTGCTCAGATATTTCTGGATATGCTGATTCATCGTGAGATATATGTATCGGTTTATTCTAAGTCACGCTGCCCACTGTCTGACGGTCTGTCCATGTGTCCGTTTTCAGCGTTGAACTTTTCCCGCTCGCTGACGCAGCTGGAGGCCGCCCAGCAGAAGATTGATGCCGGCCTGGGTCAGGGCGAGGCGCGCCTGGCCCAGGTGCAGGCCGACTGTGCCGCCTCCCTGTCCACGCTAACCAAAGGTCTGGACGCGCTGACCGCCCGACTGGACGCCGTCAAGAAGTAGCCTCTACTGGAGGGTAGGGCAGGGGGGCAGGGCAGTCGGCGGGGCTGTGGTCCCTGCAGTGGTGCAGCTGCTGTGATGACTGCAGAAGTGCTGTTGTGCTGGCCTAGCCAGTTAAACAGTGCCGATCAGTCCAGGTCCTGTTCTTCTAACACGCTTCTCTTAGCGTTTAATGCTGTGCTGGCTTCCCTGAGCCCGGTTCATCCAGGACTCTACTTCTGACTAGATTCACTAGGGTTTAACGCACCGGGATTTTCAGAGTTCCACAATGGATCCTACGACTGCACCTGGTTGTTTATGTAATATCTATTTAAGTATATATTTTGAGGTGTTAGGGTAGCTTTTCCGTGTCTGTGTGGGATTTTGGGCACCGTGGGCGAAACAGCGAAAACTTTCTATTCAGAACCACTCTGTTAACGAGAAACGGGCTTTAAATGTGCGTCAAGGTAAAATGTCCGCTTCTGCAAGTGATGAACCGAATAAAGATAACGAATTTATGGCATTCAGGTGTTAAATTTGTTCACGGCAAGTGCTGTGACGGTGCACGTGGTTGAACGCATGCGATGCGCCGACACAGGTAGTTGTAGGACCCTGGGATGCACGAAAGATATTGGATCTGCGCTTAACCTCCTGTTCAACACGATCAGATGACTTGGAAGTTGGAATGTCATTTAGTATATGATCCCAGCATGATCATTTATTATCTATTCGCGGAGGTTCGTATGTGCCGTCAGTATCCGAGCGCAAGTCAGTTCTCTTCAAAGTCAGTGAGCTGTTCAAAAGATCGTCACATATCACCGTACTCGTATAACAATCGGTTTCAAACATGCATCTAAACCCTCTCTTCATATTCCTTTCATCCGATTCTAACTTCTCCTATTTTCGCGTAGTCGGTGTCGTTTTGTAACACATGGGCAACCGCTTCCTCGCGCCGTGACTCGAGTTTCATCACTGAGCGATGTGTTCTAGCTGGTGATAGACCAGTCGTTCAGTAGACCCTTTCGTCTGATAGCGGTTGGCGTCTCTCGTCAGCGCCACTCGTCAAACAGCTGATCAGAGGCTGTACGTGGCGGATAGAACGGACACAACACCGTGTCATTGACGTCCGAGCCGAGCGGCGCACGCGCCTCGCGCGTCAGCTGGTCGCGAAACTGACCCTGCTCGGCCAGTCGGCCCTCCTTGCCGGCGAGCGCGCGGCGCCGAATGAACGCCACCACCAGTTCGGTACTGACACGTGCCATCTGGAACGTGCATCCGTGAGCGACGAGCACCAGCGGCCGGGTGCGCTCCACGCGCCATGACGGCGTCACGATGTGTTTGAAGATGCAGCGCTGCACCAGCGAGCGCAGCTGACGGAGCAGGTCGGGGTCGACGCACGGATGGTGCAGGAGCACCACGGCGCCGTGCTCGATGCTGTGCAGCCATCGCTGCGGCGGCAGGTACCGGTACGAGCCGTAGACGGGCCACAGGGGGCGGTGGTGGCCGTACGTCGGGATACCGGCAGAGTAGGACAGGCTTTCGTTCATGCAGACGTGCCGCAGCGGTATATCGTCCGGCAGGCGGCGCTGGCAGTCGACTCGGCCAGCTTTGGGTGGCACGTCGAGCAGCCGCTGGTCCGCCGGGCAGAGGTGCGGCTCGGAGCCGTCCTCCCAGTCCCGGGTCAGATTCGTCTTGCCGTCGTCACAGCTGGGGTCTGAGGTGCCCATCGGCACGCCGCCGCGGTGTCTGATCCGGTCCAGCCGGCGTGGGTCGTTGATGTTCAGGCCGCGCAGAAACGACCAGTCATATTGCGAGTGGAAGTGCACCGACACGGGCACTGTGTTGGGTGGCAGGTGGCGCGCCGTCTGCACCTGGGGCCGACCGATACCGCGGTGTAGCGCCGCCTTCTCAAAGTGCGGCAGCGGCAGCGGGCGTGGCGGCATCGACAGGCGCACGGAGAGAGAGCCCAGCACCAGCATAGTGCCCAGCAGAAACAGCACCGAGCCGGGCCGAGAGCGCATCAGCGAGCCGGGAGACTCGGGCGGTCCGTAGCTCTCCGGGCCGGCCGGCTGCACCATCGAGCCCGAACGCTTCTTGGTGCACTCACACGGCAGACATCACCGCCACGGACAGCGTCGGAATTTTGGCGAGTAGGGTGCAGCGATTTAAACATCTATAAGGAAAATAAGCAACACGAATAATAACACTTTGACCCATTGCCCCTGTAAATCCCATCCCAGAAATGTGAGCATTCAGCGCAAATTCAGCGGGAATCCGCGGGTAAATAATGTCATCATTTGCACGGGTAGTTGCGCCTGACCTACTTCGTTTCCTGCTGATCTACCAAAACTTGCGTGGCGTGGCTTCGAAGTTCACTGTTCTTAAAATGGCTAATGGCAGTTGATTCGAATCAGGTGGAAGCTTATCGACAGTAAAAAATCGCCCGTTGCTCTCTATGGCAGTCTATGGTATACGAGCAATGTATTGGTCGCCTCACCATTGGCAGGCACTGGACAGTATAGACAGTATGAATGGAAGAAGGCAGGCGGCACATACCCCGCACGATTGCGGTAGTGTCGAATCACACACTCCAACCATGCATACCAAACACAACAGATGACACCACTGGGTACCGATGACGTCAATGAACTTCATCCAGTCACGGTAATCCTCCGGCTAATGAGACGGACGCGACGACTCCACCGCGGCTTCTCCTCAGTTCAAAGCATTAACCTATAGCCGGGCCATACCCGCTCACAACTCAACGTCCTCACGAGCAGCGCGATATATACATACAGACCGGGAGAAGGGCATGGACAACCCACATCTCCCAGTACAAAGTCAGTGCCTTTAGGCAGCATCCATCGAGCCTACTCAGCGCGGCAGCTCAGCGGCCTCCTCCAGCGCCGTCGCCGCCCGACAGTCGCCGGCCGGGAGTAGAACTCACGCGGCTCGGCAGCGGACGTCACACAGTCCGATGACGTCAGAGTGACGCCATCACATCAGATGGGCTTGTTGACGCTGGCAGTGAGGTCGTTGAGCTGGTCGCGCAGGCTGGCCATCAGCTGTCGGGTCTCTTCGTCCAGATCCTCCTCTTGGCGGAGCAGCTCCACCGCTTGTTGCTGTGGGAGCGATAGGACAGGTCAGGTTAGGAAGCCATGGCGTGCTCATTCATAGCAGTTGTGCTGAAAGGCGTTGGGTCACCAAACGATAACGACACAAATAAGCAATACAATGGGAACGTTAGAAACTCAACGCAAATAGTTATTAGTCTAAGATCATAATGTTAAGTGCATTGTTAACGGTACGTTCACAGGTTAGTACATTTTATTGAATCCCCGTGAAGTACAGCATACCGCTAACCAAATACAAGCCCCTCAGGAGCAAACATCTTTACTTTTTATTGCTACGAAGAATTTTGCCCATGCAGATCGCTAAATCTCTATGAGCTTCTTGATTAAAACGGGAAGATTATATCGTGATATCATGGCCATTGGAGGGTCTCAACATTTTACCATTTAACTCAGTTGCCACCAAAGAATGCCCGTTGACAACTGCAGCCGCTTCTACGGAAAACTCCAAACCCCGTTCACCTGTCCGCCCCCGCTGCCGATTCCCGTCCCCACGCACCCCGTTCAGTCTGTGTGAGTACCTACCACTATCTGTTTGGTCTCGGCCACGGGCTCAGCGCCGCCAGCCGTGTCCGCCATCACGGGGCTGCCTTTGAGCGACATGAGCACCTCGCGCGGCCGGTGCCGACGGATGGTGCTCGGCGCCTGCCGCTGCACTGTCAGCGGGTCAAACTTGGGCGTCACCGCCGGCGTGGAGGCGTGGAGCGGCCGCAGCGGCTGCAGGGGTGTCACCAGCGCCGACGGAGGAGCCGCCGAGGACGCGGCGCGCGTGGCACGGCCCGTGCCCCGTCCCCGTGCCGCCGGTTTCCGCTGGCGGACCGTGCGCTCCGCCTCGTCCAGTATGGCGTCCACTGCCGACAGCGTGTCCGTTGCCTTCGCCATCTCTTGCTCGTCATCCTGCACAGCAAGGGAGCAGCCACAGTTAACGAGCTGAACGCTGAGAACTGTAAAACTCTGCCTGCTGAAACTCTGTAACACCATCTATAAAATTGCCAATATGTTGTATATCATCAACAATAAAACGCCTGCAGATATACAGCCTCCACAACGTCGTCGGTAACCCAAAATAGTCAACAAATCAGTCATTAAACGTGGCAATAGCCATCTTACAACGGCGTACCTTTTTGATGTTCTCGAAAAGTTCACTTCTGAATGCCGATGGTATTTTGAGGCGGGCCAGTTTGAACATGCCGTCGATGTGCGCGCACGTCTGCTCGGTCGCGCGGTGCATTTCGTACACACGACGGTCCACTGTGAAGCACGTTACATGCGTTAGAATGTTCGTACACTTAGAAAACGCATAAACGGTCCAAATACACACGTCAGTCTATTGCTGGACAAATGGTATGGGTATGGGTATACACGTCGGGTTTCCGGGGATGCATTGCACGGGTCGATACACAATCATCCGTCTGTTGCTAGATAAAATGACACCGGATAAGGCCACCGAAATACAGCAGGCCTCCTCAGGGCAGCATTCCATAAGTTAAATGCCACGCCCGAAAGAGCCGCAAAGGCCGTAACGGGCCTGGATCATAACACCCGTAACAGGCCTCGGCTGAAACAGCCTTAACAAACATCGGCCGATTTTGTCGTGCTCGGTTCTGGTGAACCTGTCAGGTAGGCACTGGATCCAGTAAGTGCAAATGCCACTGTCCCATCTATGCTTCTTTCATAAGGAAAATCTATGGATTCTATTACTGAATGCCAGATGTCAATCAAGATCCTTTGTCATACACATCCACAATCCTATCAATATTGTAACATATATTCAAAAAATAAAATGTCAACTATTCAGAGTCAGCATGAAACAATGCACCCATTGAATCATCATCTAAAGAGGAACTATGGATATGAGTTATGCAAATGAGCTGTTGACACACAAATACTTACCTTCCATGTCAAACTGTTTTAGCAGTGCCTCTAGTTTTTCATTTTTCTGATCATTTTCTGTGTCTTTCTTCTTTGTTACCTTCCGCCGTGGCATGATGGAAAATGGAGAATAATGATAAAATCTGAAAAAGATAGTTGGTAACTATGATCACATTCAGAGTCCAGAGATGAAAGTATTTTTCCTTGTCTAATGGTCAAATTGAAATGATGATAGATATGATAAATAGGTAAAGGCCAGTGTCAGGGCCAAACATCAAAACCACATCTGATCAATAATGGTTGCATAATTCAGGTGCGGATTTTGTGTCATATAGTGTGGGTCCAGACTCCAGTGTCGTCCCACTCCACAGCGGGTCGCTGTGGAGTGCGGCAAACTGCTGAACTGAGTTGGCACATTGTTGTCCAAGAAAATGAAGTAGGGAGACACAACAGAGTTGGAGAAGGAATAATTGAGTTCTTATTTGTTTCACACATCAAAATTGCAGATATCCTTTTAAAAGGAAGGCTAAGCAGACAGCAAAACAAGAAAGCATTGCTCCACAACCAAGTACCAACACAATACACATTCAATGCCCGACCAGACAAAGGCATAACAAAATAGTGACAAATTGATACAAAAGAGCATGAAACGAGGACCACATAACATCACACACTCAACTAAGAACATAATCCATAAAAATAAGTGCACCCCCAACTGCTCCAACTCACACCTTTTTCACACAACAACAAACATCGATCGCGCCGATCGCATCGATCGATCGCGCATTATAGAGTTCAGTCAGTTCAGTGATCGCGCCAGAAAAGTCATTTTCAAAATATTGCGGCGAAATCACTGGCAACTCATTTGGAAGCATTTTCTTCCTAAGCTGCGAGAAATTCCTTTACAACAAAATATTTTGGCTGCATGTGATTATTTTTGTGTGATTTACTGAGCAGCTGAGTTATTGCTTACTGTTGCAGGCTGCAAATGTGTCATGCTTATGTAATTGTCATTGATATTTGCTACAAATAATGCTCACTGAATTGTTAAAAGAGCATCAAGCAAAGCAGCAAGTGCAAAAGCAGATACAAGGTGAGAATGTCCTCAGTCTGAGTCTCACTGTCACACAGTGAAGCATGAGTCTGAGTCTCACTGTCACACAGCAAGCACATACCCATACTAATTTACCCATTTAAATTTTTTTCTCATTAATGTTACAATGCTTACACAAATCTTTGCTTGTATTTTTTTAATCTAAGTGAGCTTAAATCACCACTTTGCCCCTATGCTCGGAATTCAATATAAACCACACCATATTGATATTGTCATAAACTATTCATAGATCTAGAATATTGTTGATACAGTCACTTAGTGAGCTTAACATAACTAAACTTATTCTTAACAGCTTAGCATAATGCAGACGCCTCACTCTCTAGTCGTGGTTTGAATTATTAGCCATTCAATTTGCATTGCCAAAAATCAGTGAATGAACATTCCCACAGAAATACATTTCTGCCTTATAATAACTTGCTAATTGCTATTACCATGTCCATAAATTCAAGAATGTTAAATGATTATAAATAAAAGTTTATAGCTTTTTACCTTTTTGTACACTATTCTGATTCAGTTAGGACAATGAAGTATGGCACAATTTTCATACAAAAAGACTAAGACCAATATTTGTTCTTACACTTTGCAGACACAAGACGCAAAGAGGCCCTAGCTGCATCAAATGAACTCACTACTGCACTGGTTGACCACCTCAATGTTGGGTAAGTGTGATCAAAAAGAACTGCAACTGCAGCTGCCTAAAGCAACTCAGGTAAAAGCCAGTTACATTGACTTTTTGTCTACAGGACTGAATGGAGCATAGCTTCTTGTCAGGCACATGCTATTTAAAAGGTACTTATTGTGTCACTAATACTTTTGGCTTCATGTTTGTTGTGATTTATGCTTGCATTGTGTCTAAGTGCATAATGAATTTGATCTACATTTAGGCTATATGCCTTTTTTGGCAGTGTGGCTCAAGCCTATCTAAACCAAAAGAGGTTGGATGCTGAGGCGAAGCAGCTGTATCAGAATGCTGCAGCTTTCTCACGTCAGAGCCAGCAGTGGCTTCAGCTGATGGAGGGCTTTAACACAGCGCTCAAGGAGCTGGGAGACGTCGAGAACTGGGCGCGAACCATCGAGGCAGACATGCGCATCGTCTCAGACGCCCTGGAACTCAGCTACAAAGGTGGGAGAGATCAGAACAGCTTACAGCCCACGCCGACGCGGTGGGAGTCGTGGCTTTGCAGTTTGCGGCCGATGCCGCTAATTCCATTCACGTTGAAAAAAATAGCTAATAACTCCCTTTTGCGATTTTAGACGATGCCTGTCCCAAACGTTTTAAGTGCATTGAACGGTTATTTGCCCAGGAAATACAACAGTCTAAAGCTTTTGCTGATTAAATAATGAAGAGCTTATGCCATACGAAAAGGATTCTGAGAGCTTACGACGTCACATAATATTTAGCCCCGACATGTCGAGCATCATCGATTCATCAGTTTGCTCTTGCTTCCTAGTATTACTCTGCACTTTGCCTGATGCCCTTACTTCGTCAATCGACCGTTCTCGGCAGCGGTAACACCGTCTTCCGTTTCAGCTCACCGCGAGTCGTCGTAGCGCAGCTCCGGCCGGCTCGATTGTCGCGGGCTGCTACGGGTTCGCGAGTGACAGGTCAGACACTCGGTCACCAAGATGCCATGCCCGTGGTTTGCGGTTACTTGCTCTTGGGGGTCACATAATGGAAAAATACGAGGCAGAATCGCGAGGGTCATTCAAAGAGCTTCGTTATGACTGAAAGGTAGTTCACATCAGATGCCTAGATTTACGTTATTTACAGTACTTTATCCTGGAGGTGCCAATTATTGTCTTGTTTATGCTTTGTTTACGTGATCAGTGTCAGTGTGTGTGGCGCATTTACATGTTCAAGCAAATATATCACTAAATAATATGCACTTTGAGCAGAAAGTGTTTTTAATCAAAGGTCGCCGCTGCCGCACTGCACCTCCCGTTTCCCGCGATTATAAATAAAGCTTTATCAAGTGTCACTTATATCACATTAAATAACCCTTGTACCATTCTCAAAACACACCAGCATCCACTCAGAGCATACAGGTCCACAGAGAACACCACAGAGAACAGGCACCACTCCCCGTGGGATTGGTGCCTCATGAGAGAATCATGTCATTGACATACACGCGGCATCGTGTAGATCATAATATCTCCAAACAGCTGTGGGCCTCCGTTTCGCCAAAAGGGCAGGAAGTTGATAATGTCTCTGAACACCGCACAGCTGACACAAGACATTGTCACTCCGATCGTCGAACCACTAGCAGTCGCCAGTGCACATGCAGCGATGGCCCGACGAGCGGATGCGAGATGCGACGTCCCTTCCCCAGTCCCATCCGACCCCCATCACTTTCCCAGCTGACGTTCGATGGCCTTGATCTCGTCGGTGAGCGGCTGTCGGCGCTGGATCTTGACGAGCTGGTCGGCGTCGGGCGTCACCTGGCCGGCCTTCACCTTGTCGGCCAGCTGTGTCACGTCCTTCAGCTTCTTCTTCAGGTTCTTGAGCCGGGTGCGCAGCTCGGCCTCTTCACTGGCGGACGGCGGCAGCTCTGGCGCGGCCGCGATCGACGTCTTGGACAGCTGCTCCACCAGGCTCTCGTCAATCACCGGCGCCGGGGGCTCGCTCTTCTCAGACTTCTTCTTCGGCTTGGACTTCTTTGGTTTTGCAGCAGGCGCTGTGCAAATAGAATTCCGGTGAGCACTATGAAAAGACATGCAGCTTTAGAAGTGTCGTTTCGGGAAAGATTGAAAAATGTTGAGATAGGGACAAAATGTCAAACAGTGTTGTCAATAATCACGTTACGCATGCAATATTAACGTATGCGTTAAAGGGATATAGCATCCAAACGCCAATAGCAAATACCATATTATCGAAGACTCAAAACATTGAGCTTTAAACCATCGAAAACGAAGATCATCGAAAAATCCCCTTATTCCCGAAAGGGTTCGGACTTCGGAGTGGCAGATGGTATAAGATGATGGTGCTGTGATGTGAAACCTTAGGCTAATAACAGATGAACCTATTGAATACGCTTTAAGCCGACATAGAATGCAAGAGATGCCCCTCCATCACGCTGCTTGGCTGACGGGCCAGCGGCCTGTGGTCACGGTACGGCGCTCACCTGCCAGTCCGGGGATGGCCGACTCCCCGGAGCCGAGGTACCGTTCGGCGCGCTCGGCCGCCTCGCGACCGGCCCGGTGTTTGGCCACGTCGTCCGGCGCCAGCCCGATCGGGTGGTCCTTGCGCCCCTTGTTGAACTGGCGACCCTTGCTCTCGTATCTGCCATTGCACAGAAGAAACGTCAGAATGTGTCCTAAAGAATGCTTCAATCAAATGGGAATCAGGAACTCCCAGGTAGACAAGACAAGCATTAATAAGTTATTCAATTAACCACACTGTTTTCCCTTTGTCGAATGTGCTTGCAAAATTATATTCCCACATGCACAGGAATGCCGCATGAAACAATTAACACCTAGGACGTTCCCAGCATGGGCACTTACAAAGGCATTTCATCCTGGGGTATGTATCCTTCTTTCACTCTCCTGGCCTTTCTGAATGTTCCATCTGGACGCCTTGAGCCAGGAATATATACATCTCCTGTAAAATGTAAAAAAATCTGTCAACTCCTACCAACAGTATTTTCTTCCTGTAATCAACCATAAGCATCAGAGGCAGATCATCACAGACTTGATCATTAGGCCTGCCTGATAGTTGAACTTCAATAAGTTAATTTGTATGCCTGATAAGATAAGTAGGTAGGTACTACCTACCCATCAAAGAAGGAATGAAGCTGCAACAAGAGCACTGATGGAATATTGATTGAATGCTGAGAATTTGTACCAGTTTGGTTTCCAAAACTCTGGCACAAAGGGCCAGGGAAACTGCATGACTTACCAAAACAATTTGTGCAGAAAAAGAACCTAAGTTTAATCAAGTATCAAGAAAGTAGAATGAAGGGCATTGAAAGTACTAGGGTGATGAGTTTGTATGAAATTCCAGGAAATATAGAGACGAGTTATTGCGGGTAACTGCCTCAACCGGTGCTCATTCTGATAATGACTTGGTCCCATAATGAGAACAAACCAACTACACTTACAGGTAATGATGCTTTCCAAGTTTAAAGACATCAACATTTAAACATTTAAAGACGTCAACTTTGATAAATATGAATATATAGATCAAACGCCTCTTAAAACATAAATTCGTGCGTCACATTCGTCAATGAAAGAAGAAACTGGCTTTCAATAACAAAATAAGTGAAATATTGTGAAAGGAAATTGCGGAAAAATTAAAACAATACGTACTTACCGTTTTCATCCCTTATGTATTCTTGCTGAGACATTTTTTTCTGTCAGCAAACGTGCAGTGTATAAAGGGAATGCCTTCTCAAGGTCGATGAAGGATTTTCGTAGGCGCAGGGGAAATACTCTTGTTCGTATTTCATGCCATATGGCACGTATTACGTCATGGTTGTTTGCTTGCAGCTGGCCGTGGTTGCAGGGTTTTCGCTGCATTCTTATCAGGGGCGTCGCCGACGGGGGGGGGGGGGGGGGGGGTCGGGGGGGTCGTGACCCCCCCCCACTCTTGAAAACTGGGGGTGTCGACCCCCCCACTTTTTGCGATGCTGAGTATGCTTTTTTAGCTTTTATGTCAGTGAAGCAGGCGTCAGCAACACCAACAAATACATCAGACTCAAAATCGCTTCAAGAGCTCCCTAAAGCCAATTAGCCAATTACCTAAAGGTCAATTAGCTGTGGGCGGGGAACACCAGCACAACAATGTTTTTAAGTAGCCCCCATCCTAGTACCTTTTTATCCCTCAAAGGATTGGACGCGCCAAAACTGCCCCGAGCGTTCGTCTGATCGTTTTAAAAAAATGGTCGCAGTCGATTCGTCGGATCAGTACCTAACTACAAAACTACAAACTAGCCTCAGCCCCATGGCTACCGTCACAAACTAGCTGTACATACAGTGCACATGTAGGGGAAAGGGAGTCAGATGGATAACCGTCTCGGGCTTTCGCAAAGAAGTCGCGCAAAAAGGAGCCGATTGCAACAAAACTTCCGGTGCGCTCGAGTTAATCACCTACTTAAAATAAATCGATATCCCTGATTCAAATAAAGATGACCTTAGTTCACTTTTTCATAACGTGCTTTTAATTGATAGGGTAGTTTTTGGAGCTGATTTTGAACTTAGCGCCCATCTGAACATTTAAGAAGTAGTTGTGTTGCTTATTCATATAACATGCTAGGAAGCAATCGGTGGTGGTCATCCACTATTAGGTACTGGTCGATCTGACCTGACCTGATCTACCCCAAATGCATGGAGTCATCATCTTTGTTCAAAACTAAGATAACATTCGTAATCAGAACCTCGAAAAACCATCACAACTTACATTCGTTAAGTTCTAGCAGGTCCCGAGTTTCTCTACTTATTGGCGATGACCTGAGTCCTGAGATGACCCGAAAACTTGTAAATGGGTATCATCGGCTTTCTCTCGTCACGGGCAGCATGCTCTTTTTTCCGCAAACCTGTAGATCGATCAGGGGTCGAAAGCATGCCTCAGCGTTAGTTAAGTATGCGTTATACGTTAGCGACTGGGAAACCACCAATAGAAGGGCTTCAGTGAAGCAGAAAACTATTCGATAGCTCTTTTAACGCTCTTTCGCTAGCTTCGCGTTAGATTTCATCTCAGGTCTATGTTTGGCCCATAAGAAGGCAAACAGCTAACTGGACAGATTCTGCCGAAACATCTGCTTTGCAATAACTTTCGAAACCGTGAATTCGTATGGTATGTACATATGTTGTCTTGTCACCACCGTCTTGATCTCTTTGAGACGCGTCACATGAGTTAAAATTTGACCATTCAGAATTAACGTTAAAACGACCTCAGGTCAACGTTATGTCCTGATCGAAAAAGGACCTCCTGCTGCATATGAATGGATCCGTGTTGTTGAGCTGAACAGTGAACACCTTCCAGGTGCTGTCATCGCTCTACCGCGTCTTCGTCAAAAGTTGTAGAAAAAAATGCTGGTGGCCATCGATGGACATTTCCACTAATGACCTTTCGAGTCATCACTCGCCATAAGTTGCACTCTGTCCCTGGCAATGATGAGCTGATTTGTCATGGCTCCAAAGATATTTTGCGTTTCTGACGAACTTTTTCAAAGCAGGAGGCATTCGTGCTTTTTCTAATTTCTCAGGGTGAAGACTTCCATTTCGCGTCTAGCTAGACGCGTCTTAAGTCTTAGACGCGTCTAGCTGGACGGCGGCTGCATCTATCTGGCGACAGCTTACTTTAGACGCGTCTTGCTTGGAAGTCTCCGTCCAACAGTTAGACGCCAAGTTAGACGCCAACTTGGACGTCTGCTCAGTTAGATGCCAGTTGGACGCTAGTGGAAGTCTCCACCCATTTTCTAATGATGAGGTCACGTATTTGACCTGCCTTCAGATCATAGATGTAAATCCTCAGTTAGAATCATGAATTGCTGACACGTATAACCCCATACATTAGGTACCAATACAGTGTACCAAATTTCGAAGTTATTGGGAGAAAAGCTACAAGAATGGCGAGAGGGGAAAGTTTTTATAGAGGTATACCGTATAACTGAACTTGACATGGCGACCTGACCTTAAGTGACCAGTGATAATTTTTACGCAAGTGATGTAGGTAGGTATACCTACCTAATAGGTTATACCAAATTTGGCGGCGCTGCGCGCCGATTTGTTACACACGCACACACACACATACGCACGCACAAAACTGGGAAGTGTGGCAAAAAAAAAACACCCCTACCCATCGGGTGAAGACTAGAAACCTGACCCCCCCCCCCACTCAAAAATCCGTGGCGACGCCCCTGATTCTAATAGAAAGCCGATACGTTATTCCGTTGACTCATGAGATTTATAATTTGTAATTAGCATGTACCTGTCAATAATTTGTGTCAACTTTGTCAGGTTTCTTTTTAGAATGCTGGATCGTGGTGACGTCATTTTGTAATGTCATTGCTGCCATATTTCAAATAATTTGAATTCAAAGGCGCCATTTGAGGCAGTAATTGGCGCACAACAAAATAATTTGTTTCTGGAGATGTTGTTGTTGTTGTTGAAGAGTTAGGGCTGTTTCTGGAGAGAGAAGTTCTTGGATTATTTTCATACCATTATTGTTATTGTATTTGTAAGTTGAAAATTGAATTCACTTTCAAACTTTTAGTGTGCTTTAGCCCAGTCCCAGACCATTTTTGAGACCCTATTTTTATACCTATTTTGATTTCATATTCCACAATATTATCTGATGATTTGGTTCTCACTCAGTGTCAGTGGCTTGGTTTGTGTCTTGGTGTTTTTTTTTCTTCTAAAATTCCACCCAAAATCGCTTGCATGTTATTTGGGATTTCGGCACATGAAAGTCTCAAAGATGTCTGGTCTAGTGTATGGATTTTTCCAGTCAGTTAGAATCGTTATAGTTGCCTGTCTCTGGACACTTTCCACCTTTTGCTGGTCAGCTGCTGACCGTCAGCACGATTGAAAGGGCGGCCCATATGATGTTGCAGTACTTGAGGTGCAGTCGTACCAGGGTCTTGGACAGAAGAGGTAGTGTGATGGTGTTGATGTTTTTGAAGGACTTGTAAATCACAGCAAAGGTCTGGGAGGCTTGTGGTGTGGCCGTGTTCCTTGAATCTCTTGTTAAAATATACTTGAGCCAGAAACTTGCCAACAATGAGAAAAATTATGTTAAAAGATGGTGCTCTATGCCTTTGTGTTTGCAGAACTTCCTTTGTGTCAAAATGACCACCTTGGTCTGAAAGAATAATTTTACCAGTTTTGATTTTGCGTCCCAAGACCACAGCTTCATTATTTAAGCTCAACAAGTATGGAATCACATAAATCTAAAAAATGACTTCTTTTCATGTGCATTTATTTGGTCTTAATGTTGTCTTGAGTCTATCCGCAAAATAAATATTTGGCCCTTTACCCATGTCTGCAGAGTCGCAGACTCCGTGGACATTCAGGCGACATACAGAGGGCAGGAATTGCCATATGTGTGTTGCCTGATTGGCTGCTAGCTTTTTTGACCACGGGAGCCGGGACAGCCGCAGACAATTGAACAAGGCCCTGTTGCTTATAACCTAATGACATTGGCCATCATGACTCCTATTTTATCCTGCGCTTCCATGTCTGACCGGTGACCCTGACCACCAATCTGCCTGTGTGTGCTGTGTAGGCCGGTATCTCTAAGCGCGATGGGACGCCAGCGGCGGGGTAGCGGCACGGCGGCGGCGGCGCGTGATCGCCGGCCGGCCGAGGAGCCCATGGAGGTGGACGCCGAGGAGCGGCCCGCCGACCCCGAGGAGGACGAGGATGATGAGGAAGAGGAGGGAGGAATCCGCATCGGCGACATATACCTGCCGCCGCCGCCACCGCCCGCCTGCACCTTCGAGAGCAACGGGCCGCGGCTGGTCATTACGCACATCGAAAATGAAAACTTCAAGAGCTACCTCGGCAAGCAGGTGCTCGGGCCTTTCCACAAGGTGAGTGGCTTGGGCTGTATTTATACGTTATATTATATCATTTGCATGTTTTCAGACTAACCCCGCGTTCGATGTCTCTCGGACGGCGAAGATTCTACGCTGTCCGGCCAATCACGTTCCATAACCGCAGCCGAGCCCTCGCTGACCTTGGACGGGATTGGCCGGACGACGTAGAAACTTCGTCGTCCGAGAGACATCGAACGCGGAGTAAGTTTCGGGGATTGATAATAGATTTTTGATAAGTTTAAACCATACTTTTTCATGTGTAGATATTGCATCGCGATTTTTTTGGTCTCGCAATAGATGCTGCACCATGATTGGTAATCGTGCTCGATATTTATCGTCGCCTAGCATCGCAGTATGACACCTCATATCCGGCGAATATACTCCTGATTAGGTGTTAACCGCCTGTCGTCTGCTGGCAGAGTTTCACTTCTATCGTCGGACCAAACGGTAGCGGAAAAAGTAACGTGATCGACTCGATGCTGTTCGTGTTTGGATATCGAGCTCAAAAGATCAGGTGAGAAATATAGGGCCACACTTCCCTTACAATATGCTATTCGAAAAGGCTGTGTTTATTGAGCTTTTCTAAGAATTGAAATCCGTTGCTGTTAACCGTAATGTGTCTTTGTGTCTTACCTCGATTTTTTCTTTGCTATTTGCTTAACTTCGTAGCATGATGTGAATTGAAATGCTTGCTTGGAAATCGTACGGTTTCATTTTTATTTAACGTTCGGTGTCCGCCAGGTCAAAGAAAATCTCTGTCCTCATTCATAACTCGGATAACAACGAGAACATCGACAGCTGCACGGTCGCCGTTCACTTCCAGAAAATCATTGACAGAGTAAGTGGACTGCAGCAATTGCGACATTGAGACGTGATAGAGGCCTGTGCTGTGTGCATGATAGAGTTGTGTTGAATACACAATTGTTCATTAACCCGCGCCCCGTAGGGGGGGGGCCGAAACGGCCCCCCCCCTGTCCTTTTCGGTCGATATCTCCTAAACGGCTGGAGATATCGCCACCAAACTTTCAGGACCCCTCCGGGCATCAATTTTGCACATTGTGACCAAAAATTTTTCCAGAGGCTATGATAGGTTGGCCACAAATGACGTCAGAGTGACGTCATGTTCTGTCATTTTCGACCGAAAAAAGACCTTCGCGAGAAGACCTGTCAGGACTACAGCTTTGAAGATACAGAAAAATGATTAAAACATAAAAGGTGTAGAATTGACAGGGCTACAAAACTGCTATCTCGAATTTTTGAAATTTCTGAGTTTTGACCCCCAAAAATCAAAAAAACATTTTTTTGGATATATTCGCCAAAAAATCCAAAAAGTTTTTTGAGTTTCGAAAAAACCGGAATATATGTGATAGTGCCTACCGTCTTCTATCTACATACCAAATTTCAGATCGATACCTCGTTTTTTGGCCAAGTTATAGCGAAAAAACTGTTCAAAAATGATGACGTCAAATTTTCAAACTCAATTTTTGGCAATTCTAGAACTCGTAGAGCAAAACGAAGACCACCATTAGACTCCCCGTGACGAGCTGCATCGAATCGATACCCGTTTTATGCAAAAATATCAACTTTGAAATTTGACCTAATTTGACCTGACCTTGACCTGACCTTCACAAAAACGTGACCTAGGCTGGCCCCAAAGGCTGCCTAACCCACATAATCGCATTTGTCATGTAAAATGGACCATAAAACATGTATCACACGACACATTCATATTGTGACCCCCGGTGACCTGACCTCGCTGTGACCTGACCTGGTATCAGTGACCTCAGATAGCAAAGTATGTGTTTGACGAACAATGTACCATCGATGGTTTTCAATAAATTACCAATTTACTCGCTTTCACAGCACATTTCTTGAATTGCCTGTGAACGGTGAAAATCTGACCTTTGACCTGACCTGTGACGTCATCGGTTTGACCTAGGTCAATGAAATTTGGTCACAAGGTAGTTCCCGGGTGGGGCTATCGAACGCCGTTTGAATTTTGAAAATCGGCCGGTAACTTTCCGAGATCTTAGGGGGGGCCGATACGCCCCCCCCCCCCCCCCCTACGGGTGGTAGGGTCCGCCGGTAGCCCTACGGGGCGCGGGTTAATGTATGTCTGCGAAAAAGTAATGTGCTTATAGAGCATGCTCATTTAGCTGTGTACCGTTCTTTGATAATCTCCAACACAAGCGTCGTTTTGGCGACTGCGTGACCGTTTGTCTCGTTATTTTTATCGATATCCGTTGTCCGGCTGACCACACATTGATTGTAGATTAACGACCCACCCCTCCGCGACCGGCGCAGGGTGACGACGACTTCGAGGTGGTACCCAACAGCCAGCTGGTGGTTGCCCGTACCGCGTTCAGGGACAACTCCTCGTTCTACACGGTGAACGGCCGGCGCACCCAGTTCAAGGCGGTGGCGCGTCTGCTGCGCGCGCAGGGCATCGACCTGGACCACAACCGCTTCCTCATCCTCCAGGTCAGGACAGACTGGATCACAGGAGGGCTGCGCAGTCAGCCGCGGGGGTGGGGGTGGGTGGGGGGGGGGGGGGGTATTAGGCAGGGAGCAAGTGTGCAATATTTTAGTGATGTACGGTTTTTGTTTAAGTGTTCTCTACAGCTGGTTGGTTGTCAAACGTCAGTGCTAAACATTGTTAATATTTGATCTGCTTACATACTTGCCTTGAAATGAAATTTTCTTGGGTTAAGGTTCAGCATTTATAGTTGATTTCATTGAAGCGCACAGTAATCAACGTACTTGCTTCTGACGTGACATTTGTGTTATTGCAGGGCGAGGTGGAGCAGATCTCACTGATGAAGCCCAAGGCCCTCACCGAGCACGAGACGGGCATGCTGGAGTACCTGGAGGATATCGTGGGATCGTCGCGATACAAGGCGAGTGCCGACGGGATGTACCAAGGCACCGAAATGCCTCGTCTGTCCCGGAATTCGTAAGACCTGCCTTGGGCTCATGTTGTTCACTAGTTTCCAGTCTCAACGTTTGAATAAGTCTTTCATTTCCCTGTTGTACATTATTGGTTGTGTCAGCGCACTGGATGTGACTGTGTTGGAACGATTCGCTGCGGTGACGGATCCCTGGCGGAGACCGACAGTCGCCTAACCGCCCACCCTCTTCACCGTAGGAGCCGATCGAGCTGCTCAGCCAGCGGGTGGAGCAGCTGAACGAGCAGCGTGCCGAGAAGCTGAACCGCGTCAAACTGGTCGAGAAGGAGAAGGACGAGCTGGCCGGGCCCAAGGACGAGGCGCTGGCCTACATCCGACTGGAGAACAAGGTCACCTGCAGTCGAAACACACTGCTCCAGAAACACATGTGAGTGGGGGACGTGGGCCAGGTGGTTGTCAGACGGACAAGGGTGGTGTAATAGGTCGGTACTTTGGTAAAGTGGCCGATCAGAAAGTATCGGATTGATGGCAAAATTTGGTGAAACCCAAATTTACGACAGGACGGCAGGCTATTTCTGTCAGGGATAAGTAGCGATCTTCGTTGAAATCTGCAGACCTAGAAAAGTTTCATAGCTGTTCATCGCGGCTTTTGCATGCTTTCACGGTTAAGCTGCGCAAATTTCAATTATTCAGGTTCCTTGACTGGGTTGTTTCTTACGCTATCGTTTCTCGTGATATCGTTTCGTCTGGTACAGCCCACCGCTAAAGTAATGTGCGGTTTTACCAATCTCAACGGATGGCTTTGACTGGCGATTTTCTAAGTTTCATTGTGGTCTGGCTAATTGCTCCTAAGCTTCAGAAGCAGAACATACCCATGACTGAAACCGCACATTACTTCTGTGTGGACTGTACATTTTCTCCCCATTTCATATCCCTGTTGCCGACCATTGTCTTACTGCTCTCCGTTCGTCGCCAGTTACGAGTGTTCTAAGAACGTGGAGAAGGCTCAGACGAAGAAGCAGGAGATCGATGACGGCATGGCCGACATCAAGAAGCAGCTGGAGGAGCTTGCTAAAAAGCGACAGGAGAAGGAAGACGAGATGCGCAAACTGGGAAAGTAAGTCACATCGGCTGGCAGCAATCAGAGCAACTGTTGTGAGTTATGGAAATCAGTCGTCCTCAATGGTGAATTTAACTCTAGGTTGGCACTCGAAATCAGCTCGATCACAAATCACTCGAAAGCAGCCTCGACTAGCAGCTGGAATTGTGGTAAAATAGTCATGTTTATTTCTTTTGTATTATATTTTGCACTATTGTCTGTGTAGGTATAACTTTTTCAGGCACAATTGCTTATAATGCTGTAATTTGTAACCGCTTGTCCTGTACAGAGTACCTTTTTTGCCACCCCTCCGATTGTTCTGACGTTCTATCTCTTGCCGACATTTATATAACGTAATTGGCTCTTGTCCCTCCTACAGAGAGCACGACAAGCTGTGTAAGCAGAGCGAGGAGCAGAACGAAAAGTTCAAACAGCACCAGACGGATGACATGCAGCTCGAGGAGAATCTCAAACTCACGCGCGCCAAGATGAAGAAACTGAAAACAGCACTGAAGACGGACAGGGAAAAGGTGGGCTAGCGGTTTTTTTATATTCATCGTGCTTAACTCAGCTGTTCAATGGATGATGGATATGTTTTCATTGAGAACCGTAAAAATTGCGATTCTAAAAAAAAAAAAATGTGTTAGGATGCTAATAATGTCATTCACTCAACTTCACCAAACACCACTGTCGTCGAATCCTTGTAGCTGTTCAACTCCGCTTTGACTCTGACGTCCTTGTCCCCCGTCAGCTGGAAGGTCTGGAGAAGGTGCCGGAGGAGAACCGTGCCCAGATCGAGACGCTCACTGAGCAAAAGGGCGGACTGGCCGAGGAGCGCCAGCGTGAGGACGAGAACTTCCAGCGGGTGATGGCCTCGATCAAGTCTGAGACGCAGCAGTTCCAGGACCAGAAGGACCAGCTGGAGGCGGAGCTGGGCGGCCTCAAGGAGACCGTCAACAAGACCAAACAGACGGTACGCAGAGCGCGGGCGAGAGGCGGGAGTGGGAACTGAGCAAATACTCGACAGGGCCGATCCTGTCAGCCTGCTTTATTGCTATTGGGGATTTCACAATGTCTTACTTTATCGCGGTATTTTCAACAGCTTATAACTGGTTTGCCTAAATAATTTTATGGTTTGTCGCATAAAAAAATCAGATGGAGGCATAAAGGCGCTTGGACCTGACTCCTTTCACCGATCAAGTGAATACGGTGCTGTTCATTGTTCAATGACCTGAACTGGCCCCCTGTGACCGGTCAGATGACCGCTACACTTTGCAATGACCTAATCTGACGTGACGGCCTCTGTGACCCGTCAGATGGACGTGGCGCGGAGCAATGACCTGACCTGACCCCTGTGACCGCTCAGATGACCGCTGTGCTGTACAATGACCTGACCCCTGTGACCCTTCAGATGGACGCGGCGCGGTACGAGCTGGACATTTACGTCGGCAATGAACAGTCAGAGAAGGCCAAGCTGGTACAACTGGAGACAGGTCTGGAGACAGCGCGACAGCACGAGGCAGAGAACAAACGGTAAGGCCCAGGCTGTCAGACGTCCATACGATGGTGATTGTAGCAATGCTGTGTATTGACGCAAACAAAGGGAGTGCGTTTCCATATTTCACACGCGTTTCGCGTTTTAGTTGGTAACTGCCGATATGTAGTTGGTCGTACTCCGTGAGCTGACCAAGTTTTGGACGTCTTCCTGAACATAGCATTGCAGAAGTGACCGACTGTCAGTCTGCTAATTGAGGTAGCGCAGTGGCATCGAAAATCCATTTAACGGAATGATGTATCAGAACTAACTAGACCAGAACACTAACCTCAGCGTCACAACACTAGACCAGAACACTAGCCTCAGCGTCACAACACTACAGCATGCTTATTGCTTATTTACGATGGCGGATGGCTTGAAGTGTTTCTGTGGAAAGTGTACGATAACCGCTATGTCTGCCGTATACCCTGGTCCGCTCTAAAATTCAGTTTTACTAATTTGATTTTAATTTATTCTGCGACAAGCTATAACGTATGCCTTTAAACAAATAGGTATCTATCTTTAACCCTCGCCCGCACATGCCATTTTCCCATCCTAGAACGCACATAGGGAGGGGGGGGGGGTGCCACCCCCGCGCCATTTCGTTCTTGCTTGAGATAGAGCTTCGCGGTAAAGACGAGCATATTCGTTGGGAAGAGACGAATCCAATGGTAGGTACTTAATTTTACCTCATTGGGTCAATCATTGACCTTCCAGGTCAGGTCAAGCTAAAAAATGTTGCTGTTTGGGGCCACCGTTCGAATATCACGTGCGGTGCCCATCATATACCGATGGCGCTGCCGTTTGTGGTGCCAAGCCAGCTAGAACAGCTCTTTGTCACACTATCCGACTAGGTTTGTATACTGGCTGTGGTCATTTCAGGTCAAGCTAGGTCAATGTCAATGATACGTGTTTGTATGTCTGTTATACTGATGTGTGCATCGATTGATTTGTGTGTACCTGACCCTATTGCATGAGATCATGATCTGGGAAGTTTTTACCAAAAATGCAGTCAAAAAACTTCACGAAAATAAATTCAGCAAGCCTAAAATGCAATGTTTTTAGATGACCTAGGTTGACCTTGACCCTGACCCTGACATCTGCACATCGTCGAATAACATGTTCCATGATAGGTGGGAGGTAAGACTAGCAAAAACATACCGAAATCAAGGTGTCAAAATCCCACAAGACCCATAGCCAACGCAAGATGTTGAGTATTGATTATTGGGTCATGACATGACCTGGAAAACAAGGTTATATCTCCGAAACCGAAAACCACAGAAACCTGAAATTTTCAGTGGACGCTGAGAAAGGATAGAGAAGCAGCTATACCAAAAATCAGGCTTCTAGCTTTAAAAATGTTGAGTGCAGAGCAGAAAAAGTGCCTGGGGGTGGCAACCCCCATGTGCGGGCGAGGGCTAAATGAAAAACTATCAAAGGAAACAGAATGATGTACGATGCTTGATTCATTACGGCGACAGCAGGAGACCGAGAAGAAATGTAAGCTAACGATTCTACTGGGTCGTTTTGTAGCATTTTCTCAGAAAAGTGAATATTTTAGTTTTCATTTCGCCGAGAGAGGCAGAACGCGCAGTTTCCAATACAGCTGTAAATGTCACGTAGGAGAGAGTGGGACAAAGCGGCCACCTTAACGCTTCTTACGATGCTGACGCTTGATTTTTAAGCTAGGGAAGAATCTTTCTATATCAATGTGATCCCTATTAAATTGCCTTTTATTTCAACTGCGTTTCATTTACAAAGGTGTTCACACATGGGAGATATTGGCAAGGCTTTTAAACCTATGCGTATTGGCCACTTTGCCCCATACCCTGGGGCAAAGCGGCCACCGGCGACTTCTCAAGTCCCAATGTGAGAAACAGAATAGTTGCCTCATGTAAGTACGATTAGGGTATTTGATGGTGACAAGGCGAGGATGGATGCTTACTTTGTCATCTTCCCATCTGTAGGTAAACAAAGAAAGAATTTTCATTGAAAAACATTTAATTGCATTTATTAAAACCAACGTTACACACATTCGACGCTTCAGGCATGTATTACATGTATATGTTACAGGGAGTATGAGAAATCAGTTAGTTTGCAAACTACCTAGGGAGTTTGCAAACTCCCTGAACGATCAGGTAGTTTGCAAACTCCCTAGGTAGTTTGCAAAGTACCGGAGGCCTCTTGCACCAAACTACCTACCTAGGTAAATTCAGATTTTACCTAGATTCTCTTGCACCAAACTACCTACCAAAAAACGCTACCGTGAAAATTTACCTAGAAATTCTACCGAGCGGCATAAGAACTTACCAATTGTTAAAATCCGACCGGCTGTTTTCCTCTTGCACCGAAAGCCGGATACAAGTACTCGCGGAGGAATTTTTGACGGTTTGAAGGTAAACGCGGGCTTCCAAAATAACTAGCAAAACCTTAGGTAAAATGATTCAGTTAGTAACAATAGGCACAATATATGATAATCCACGGGTACTTTTATGTAAATTAGGCATTACAAAATGTTTAGACAATGATAAATCAATGTTTTTATGAGTGAATAATAATACAATTGACCAAATGCTCCATGGGTTCACAGAGGTGCTTCTCCGTACCAAGGCGATAAACCTCCGTAGCAGAACAGCCAGGTTGAAGACTCACTCGTTGCCATGGAAACGAAGCTTATTTGTTCAAGTAATTTAATATCAAAATAACTTCTATCGGTATTTACGTAAATAAAAAATGATTTCATAATACCAAAATGTATATTAATAAAAACAATATCCATTTAATTGTTTTCTTAAGTTACTATTTGTTTGCGCCCACAAATAATTCGTCGCCAAACAGCCAATCAAAACAAATCCTAAAAACGCGAGCTGTCAAATTTACCTAGGTAGGTAGGTAGGATGGTGCAAGAGAAGCTACCGCCGTAGGTAGATTTACTAGGTAGGTATTTTGCCGATTCTACCTAGCTAGGTATTTTGGTGCAAGAGGCCTCTGGTCGAACAGGTAGTTTGCATACTCCCTAGGTAGTTTGCAAAGTCCCTAGTTAGTTTGCAAACTCCCTAGGGTTGTTGCAAACTACCTAGGTAAAATGCGAAAACGACGAAACAACAGCCATATACGAGTACATATGTAGTTAAGACGCGATGAATTGGTTCAGAGCTCAGAATGAAGCTTGGCAGCAATGGTGCATAACGAGACGATGTGGTGTTTTGATGACGCTCTTTCGCAGCTTAGTGCTTACTATTTATGTTTGTCTTGCTCGCAATTATCACCTTACAGATTAATGTCTGCCTTTTTCTTGTAGTCGACAACATGTTACGTTGCCATCCACCTTCTTTCCTTGGACGTCAGCGGCCTCTCCTCCACTGGTCTGGTGTCCATCAGAAAGCGGATGACGTCGCCATGTTCGGCGTCTTCCACGACTCGAGTTATTGCCGCTCAACGCTTCCTCCCACTCCCGGAACCTCTGATCGAACAGTTCGCGAGACATTCCCACAGAACCACAGAGCAACCACAGAACAGAAATTGCGATCACTATGCTGCCTCTTCACACTCCGCTCAGCACTGATGACCCGCCTGCACTGAGCACCGTCCACCAGCCGTGACCCGACAGTGCCTTCCATCCGTATTCCACAGGTACAGACTGATCTGACCTGTCAAGCTCAGGGCAGTCGACTGCTGGCTACCAGGATCGAGTGGAAGCGGGGCGTTGGGTTGACTAAAGATGACATCCTGATTTCTAACCCGCGCCCCGGCGAAACGCCCCCCGTCGTTTTCCGTCAATATCTCCTAAACGGCTGCAGATATCGCCACTAAACTTTGAGGACTTCTTTGGGCATCAAGTTTACACATTGTGACAAAAAAAAAAAATCCAGAGGCTATGATAGGTTGGCCACAAATGACGTCAGAATGACATAATGTTCTGCCATTTTCGACCGAAAAAGAGCTTCGCGAGAAGAGCTGTCAGACCTACAGCTTTGAAGATATAGAAAAATGATGGAAACATAAATTGTGTGAAATTGACAGGGCTACAAAACTGCTATCTCAGATTTTTTTTTATTTTTAATTTTTGACCCCCAAAAAAATTAAAAATGACATTGAATATATTACCCAAAAAATCAATGTCTTTTTTTAGTTTTGAAAAAGACTAGCGTCTTCTATCTACATACCAAATGTCAGATGGATACCTCTTTTTTGGCCAAGTTATAGCGTAAAAACTGTTCAAAAATAATGACGTAAAATTTTCAAACTCAATTTTTGGGAATTCTATAACACGTAAGTCAAAACAAAGACCACCATTAGACTCACCGTGACGAGCTGCATCGAATCGATACCCATTTTATGCTAAAAAATCAACTTTAAAATTTGACCTAATTTGACCTGACCTTGACCTGACCTTCACCAGAACGTAACCTAAGCTGGCCCCAAAGGCTGCCTTACCCACATATTCGCATTTGTCATGTAAAATGGACCATAAAACATGCATCACACGACACTTTCATACTGTGATCCCCAGTGACCTGACCTCTGCTCATTTTTGAAGTTTTTTTTTCGCTAAAACTTGGCCGAAAAAGAGGTATCGATCTGAAATATCGTATGTAGATAGAAGACGGTAGGTACTAGCATTTATATCCCGGTATTTCCCAAAAAAAACTGTTTTGATTTTTTGGGTAAAATATAAAAAAAAACATTTTTTGGGGTCAAAAATCAAAAAGTTCAAAAAATATGTGATAGCAGTTTTGTAGCCCTGTTGATTCCACACCTTTTATGTTTTATCTTTTTTCTGTATCTTCAAAGCTGTAGGCCTGACAGCTCTTCTCGCAAAGCTCTTTTTTGGGTCGAAAATGGCAAAACATGACGTCATTCTGACGTCATTTGTAGCCAACCTATCATAGCCTCTGGAAATATTTTTGGTCACAATGTGTAAAATTGATGCCCGAAAAAGTCCTCAAAGTTTAGTGGCGATATCTGCAGCCGTTTAGGAGATATTGACGGAAAAGGACAGGGGGGCGTTTCGCCCCCCCCCCTAACGGGCGCGGGTTATAAATCAGGATGTCATCTTTAGTCAACCCAACGCCCCGCTTCCACCCGATCCTGGTAGCCAGCAGTCGACTGCCCTGAGCTTGACAGGTCAGGTCAGTCTGTGCCTGTGGGATACGGATGAAAGGCGCTGTCGGGTCACGGCTGGTGGACGGTGCTCAGTGCAGGCGGGTCATCAGTGCTGAGCGGAGTGTGAAGAGGCAGCATAGTTGTCGCGGCCACGCGCCGGCCTGTGCTCGACGGGACGCCGCTCCGCGCGGCGCCCGACTCTCCTCTGGCGGAGCGGACTGTAAACACTCCTTTCTGGGGCTAATCAGACCAGCGGGTCCACGGCATTTGGGTGAAATGAAACTCGTGCCACCCTATTCAACACAAGTAGGCAAAGGGTTTTAGGCAGATTGATTGGATATGAAGGATGGCCACAATTCAGCAGCCAGGGGCCACGGCAATTCAGCGTGACACAGGTGAGAGATAGAAGTCACAATTCAAGCGACAAGGAGGCCCACAATTCAGCAGACCAGGAAGGGTAAATGGGAGGGTTAAGTGAGTAGAGATAGAAGTCACAATTCAAGCGACAAGGAGGCCCACAATTCAGCAGACCAGGAAGGGTAAAATGGGAAGGTTAAGTGAGTAGAGATAGAAGTCACAATTCAAGCGACAAGGAGGCCCACAATTCAGCAGACCAGGAAAGGTAGAGGGGTGAAGGTAAGGTAACTTGTGTAGAATGAAAAGTTGAGCACGCGCCGCACACGCCCGATTCTAACTCCGCCCGCTCACTGTTGCTCACTGTGTCTCGTTGCTTCCGCACTTCCCGACACAGCACTGAAGAGGTATTTCTATATTGCGGTGTCCAACGAACGGTGCGACGGCTACGACAGGACAGAGGCACGTCCGCACGCTGCGGAGGCCAGAACAGAACAGGACGAGAAACATGTTTACATCAGTTTAAATATGGCGAGAAATGGGGTCACGAAGAATAGCACAGGTGGGGAGGCTGAATAGATCCGGAAACGAAGGGAGAAGAAAAACACGTCTAGCGACGCGCAGTGGTCCCAAAATAGCCGCACCTGGCCGGTCCGCGCGCCTGCCTGGGACGGGGACGCCGGCGTGGACAATACACATTCCAGACGCCGCCGTCAAAAACAGGGGGGCCGGTCTCGGCCCTCCCAGGCTGCGCGGCGGCGGAAGGGTCAGGCGGCCCGGTCAGGCCGGGCCCGGGCGGCCGGCGCCCTCGCGGCCGGCCGGTCCCGGCGGTCTACCTGGCCGGCGACGAGCCACAGCCGGTGCATATACATTCACACGTACATGCGGCGGTCACATCCCGCCCCCCGTGTTCGACTCCACGAGAACACTAAACACAGTACCGCCGCTGATGTATCGGCTGATAGACGGCCTCGACTGGGCTGCGTCTGGAGAGGGCGAGCAATCGTCGGCTTTCTCTAACCGGCTGGCGCGAACGAAACACGATACACGTATTTACATAACTATTCTCAGCATTTGCACACTTCTCTTCCAGCACCGCGATCTTGACTACGGCCATCTATTCTCGCATCGTCCTGCCGCCTTGATCTGGACAGAATGGACTCATCCATCTGGTCCCGGTAACACCTGGGTCACGCGGGCGAGCGGCCGCATGTCCCGCGGCGTGTTGGAGTCGTGTTGGAGACTGTGGCACTGGCTGGCTGTGTTTGGTCTTGGAAGCTCCTGTGGCTCGCCATTCCTTTTCCTGTTCGGACAGGAGCTCTCCAGCGCCGACTCTGCTCTGGACAAACATTACCTGCTGCGCAGGCTCTGGGAGGAGGGAAGGCACCGCCCCCGGTGCTGCTGCGTCTGCTCCCTCGCTGCCCGATTCAGGCTTTGCCACCGAGTCATCAGGCTGTCGCGATCTGACTGGCCGACTTCCATGGAGAAGGGCGTGATGTCGGTACTTGCAGCCATCACTTTCACAGCGCCTTGCCTTTCCGCAGTCTGCCACGCGATGGCCCTTCCTGAGGCAGTAGAGGCACAACCGCTGGTTGAATGCGTGCTCGAGCCTGACATCAGGAGACTTCCCGATGAAGATCTGACACTGTTGCAGATCGTGCTGGCCTTCACATGCCGAGCACATCTGCTTGTGCTTTGGATTCGCGGCTGTGAAGAAGGTTTGTCTTTGGACGATCTCATCGGCGCGTTCCTTTCTTTGCCTGGCGCCGACTTCTTCGCCGTTCCCTTTTCCCTTGGGACAACTTCTGCTGATCTTCACTTGGGTCTTCAGCCACGAGTCCACGTCTAGAAGTGATGGTCTGGTCGGCTTCAGTTCCAGCGAGAACTTTCCCCACTCTCTTCTCAGGTCCCGGGGTAGTTTTTCCACCGTCCGATGCAAGCTATCACTGCTGTGAAGGTCAGCATCTGCCCCCATGCTGTGAAGGATAGTCACGGCGCAGTGTACCGTCGCTTGGAATCTTTCCAGCGCTTCTGCATCATCTTCCATCGGGTCTGGGGCGTTGAAGATGCTGTTGAGGTTGTGTTTGATGATATCGTCATCTTGACCAAACCGCTCCTCGAGGGCTTTCAACGCTTGGTGGTACAGACTTCCATCGTATAACATGCCAGAAATTGTCTGCTGCGCTAGTCCACTCACCGATGACTGAAGGTGGGCGATCTTTTCTGTGTCCGAGAGGGACGGCTGATCGTGCACCAGCGCTTTGAACAATCCGCTCCATCTCGGCCATTCTGAAGCCTTACCACTGAAGGTCGGAAGGGTCAGTTTTGGGATACTCTTCGCGAAGGCTGAAAACGGAGCTGCGCTCTCTGTGCGCTGGGTCTGACGCGAACTGCGCAGCTCTCCTATCCATGACGTGTTTTGCCTCATCTGATGAGATCCTGAACCTTTGACCGGCTCTTCACGACGTTCCTCCATTTCATGGCTTGGTGCTGTAGCCGGCCTATCACGCGACAGCTGTACTTCTCGCTGATGACTTCTGATTCCGGCTTCCTTTGTTGCAAACAACTCATCTTCGAAATCGTTCCTCCTTTCGTGTTGGAGGTCATCGTTGAGCTCTCTACGCAGATCAGCTTCGAGCTGGGCTGCTTCAGCTTCATCTTCAGCATCTTGAAGCTGTCTTCGTCTTTCGGCTTCTCTCTCCTGGCGCTGCTCTTCTTGCCTGCGGCGCTGTTTCTCCTCTTCTCGATTTTCTTGCAGTCGCTGTTCTTCTTGCCTGCGCTTAAGCTGCTGTAGGCGTAGTGCTTTAATCTTTGATGCAACCTCTGCTTCGACTTGAGATGCTCTTGAGACGGCACTCGTCTGGCTCTTCTGAGCGACAGAAACGACAGATCCAGTTTCTGATGGTGGCTCATCTTTGCGCTCTGCTAGATGCTGGGTGATTCTTTCAACGATATCTTCTCTATCACGTTCTGCCTTAGCACAGTACTCCTCTGCATCAGCCTTATCTGCTTCAGACGACAGGCAGGCTTCCAGTGCATCATTAGCTGTGATGATGCCTTCTAACGCCGCATCGACTGTCGCGTACAATCCTTCTAAGGTTGAGCGACTTCCACGAACGGCGATGATGGACTCGGCTCTGTGGCATACGCGGGAAAAGGCTGCTAACTTCTGTCCCCTTTTCCGGCGCAGCACTTTCAACTCTTCACTCACCCCTTCGTTACGCTCCTCTCTAAGGACGCTCTCTTCCAGGTCTGCTGCAGGAGGCTGTTCTGTTTCTCCTGTTGCTGACATGCTGCCGGTTCAGATCCGGCCCGGAGGACCAGTAAATGTCGCGGCCACGCGCCGGCCTGTGCTCGACGGGACGCCGCTCCGCGCGGCGCCCGACTCTCCTCTGGCGGAGCGGACTGTAAACACTCCTTTCTGGGGCTAATCAGACCAGCGGGTCCACGGCATTTGGGTGAAATGAAACTCGTGCCACCCTATTCAACACAAGTAGGCAAAGGGTTTTAGGCAGATTGATTGGATATGAAGGATGGCCACAATTCAGCAGCCAGGGGCCACGGCAATTCAGCGTGACACAGGTGAGAGATAGAAGTCACAATTCAAGCGACAAGGAGGCCCACAATTCAGCAGACCAGGAAGGGTAAATGGGAGGGTTAAGTGAGTAGAGATAGAAGTCACAATTCAAGCGACAAGGAGGCCCACAATTCAGCAGACCAGGAAGGGTAAAATGGGAAGGTTAAGTGAGTAGAGATAGAAGTCACAATTCAAGCGACAAGGAGGCCCACAATTCAGCAGACCAGGAAAGGTAGAGGGGTGAAGGTAAGGTAACTTGTGTAGAATGAAAAGTTGAGCACGCGCCGCACACGCCCGATTCTAACTCCGCCCGCTCACTGTTGCTCACTGTGTCTCGTTGCTTCCGCACTTCCCGACACAGCACTGAAGAGGTATTTCTATATTGCGGTGTCCAACGAACGGTGCGACGGCTACGACAGGACAGAGGCACGTCCGCACGCTGCGGAGGCCAGAACAGAACAGGACGAGAAACATGTTTACATCAGTTTAAATATGGCGAGAAATGGGGTCACGAAGAATAGCACAGGTGGGGAGGCTGAATAGATCCGGAAACGAAGGGAGAAGAAAAACACGTCTAGCGACGCGCAGTGGTCCCAAAATAGCCGCACCTGGCCGGTCCGCGCGCCTGCCTGGGACGGGGACGCCGCACACTGGTCGGAAACGCCCTCATGAGAGGCCATGGGCGATTCCGGAGTTTTGGATGATTTTTTATATAGATCGATTTGAAATTGATCAAATTATTATACTTAGGCCAAAAAAACTAATCCGGGTGACTAAAAATAGCTGTAATCAGCCCCCGAAGATGGGGTATTCCAGAACTCGGAAACTGACGCGGAGCAAGAGGTTTCTTGAGCCGGATATTCAGAGTCTTATTGCTGACAGACATTAAATTGAAATCCCACATATTATGCATCAAAATGTTCGTTATGAAGTTGCCGACTGGTCAGTGCAAAATTTTTGGTATACTTTTTCCCTAACTAAGATGTACTATAGCTTTTTTATGAAGGCTCTTCTACAGTGATTCTGGAATATAACTGCAAAGTTTAGGTAAGGAAACAACAGGTAGTCCCATCTAGTTCCACTCTGATTTTTTGTGAGATGAAGTAGGATTTAAATTTACACCAGGGGCCAGGGCAACATAAAAGCTAACTGCGCATATTTGCGCAAAATTTGCAGGAGCCGCTCTTCCTACCCAACTACCGCCCGCCCCGCCCCAGTTTCGGCTCGGCCGCCGCGCCCGGCTTACGCTGACCTGTGTGGCCTGCACGCATCCATGCGTAGTTGACTGGTCATTAAAAACAGATGCGCTTGAGTTTATGAATTTTGTGAAAAGCGCGTTTTATGTATGCATTTATGTATGTATTGACATCAAAAGCCTTCCACATATTGCGTGGCGATTACGGCTTGCATTTAGAGAGCCTTGCTATTGACAACCATCACTCGGCTGAAGAAAGTGGAAATTGAAGCCTTCGTGAATATAAGACGCTGCAAATATAGGACACCTGTCACTGACGTCGGGTTACCTTGGGCCGTCTCTTTACATTAGATCACAATTCCGGTATTTAACCCTGGCCGGACCGATTGGTTTTCTACATTGACCGGAGAGGGTTGGTACAACTCCCTCGCCGTTTCGCCTCTAGTTGAGCTAGAGCCTCGCGGAAAAAAACAAGCTTGTGTGCCGTTATAAGACGCAAAAATTAGGTACTACCCGATTTTAAGGTCTTAGGTCAGCCAGTGACCTCTTAGGTCAGGTAAGTGCCACAAGGCACGGGCTCGGTTTTAGGTTAGGGGAAGTTGGGGCAATGCCGGAGTTGGGGCAAAGCCGAAATTCGAGATATTTCGAAAACCGTAAGACATGGATGCCACCTGTCAGTGATGCTCTGAAGCTTAAGTGACTACAATTATCGCATGTTTGTTACGAGTCGTCATTCGGAATACTTCGACTGTGAGGGCGCCAAGAGCGTTTTCAAGGTACGTTTCCCTTGTACTACATGCGCCTTTGAAGCTGCATTTCTTACTCATTATGCTACCGTTTGTCTGGCCAATTCGGTCAAGTAATCTTTAGCATGTCTTTGCATAAGTGTGCTGCCTATTTGAAATTTATACAGCACGTTGAAAAGTTATGGGCCTGCAAATGAAAGTATGGCAGGTTGGGGTAATGCCGAAAACGTGCGATTACGCACGTGTTAAAAGCACGCTACGTGGACTTTACTGCTGTAGAATAGCAACGCGTATTTTTAGTCACACAAATTACACTTTCAACCGACACAACGGCCTGTTACCTATAAGGAATGATTTACCTGGCATGTTTTTATTATATCACACAATTATAACTTCCAGTGTGCACCGCGTCCTCAAGCTCTTAAAACGCGTGTCAGCTTTGATCAATTCTGGATAAAGTTTGAGATAAAATGGCAAAACATCAATGTCGGCATTCCCCGTAGATCATTTCTCCCATTTTCGGCTTTCCCCGCAGTCCGGGGCAACGCCGAAAAAGTCACTTCTTTGATATTTTTAGTTTGTGCGCTTAACGGTATGCGAATTCATCAAATGCGCCTGGTATGTTTGAAAGGCAAAAGACTGGCCTCTCGAATGACGCCAACAAGAATAGCTTATGTTGTCTACCTTGCGTGCTACGGGCGTCAGAAAAAAAAGTCTTCGGCGTTCCCCCAACTTCCCCTAATTACTTTGCCAAAAATGGTCGCACTGCCGCGATTTTGGCATAATCGTGTTTGTCTAGCTCAGGCGCGTTGAATGCTATACTTGGTGTTCGGGTGACAGTGTGGCCAAATTGGTTTAGCGTTAGGGGGAGGATGTATAAAAAAGTTGTATGAGGATGTCACTATTTTCAAAAAAAAACTCGTCTTCAGTGTCATTTTAGGTGCAGTTTTTACAAGTTATGTGGAAAAACTATACCTGACGTCAAGCTCTGGTGGAAAGTAAAAAAAAAATCAAATATTGTCATCAAAGATGAAAAAACATTGCAAGCGTGACAGTACGAGTATGACGGTGTGAATCGTACATTGGAACATTTTTAGTCTTTATTCCTTCACTAGGTATGCTTTCACAACAAAAACGTTGTGATGATGTAATTTTAAAATTTCTGAGGATGTCATTATACTTTTCATTGGGGGCGACTTTCCCCGCAACATCACCAATTTGGCCACACTGTCGGGTGAAGTCAACTTAACCCTCGCCGGCACAGGCCATTTTGCGTCCTTCGACGGCACAAGGGGGGGGGGGGGTACGACTCCCCCCTCTCGCGTTTGGCCCCTGATTGAGCTAGAGCCTCGCGGAAAAAACGAGCGTGTTGCCCGTTACGAGAGGAAGCCGATGATACCCAATTTTAAGGTCCTAGGTCATCAGGTGACCTTCCAGGTCAGGTCAATGACCCGAAAACCGGGAAAATCGGAACCTGTTAGAAAGTCGTAAATTGTGGCTGCTATGTGGTTTTCCGGGGTGCTGATCACGAATATTGTATTAGTTTTGATCAGAGATGATGTCTTTAAGCATTTAGACCAGGTCGGGTCAGGTCAGGTCAGGTCAACCGGTAGGGGTTGTGACGGGTATTCGTAATACGTGTCAACCGCCTCTGACAGCTTCGTAACATGTTACGAAGGCGCCAAAACTACTTCGTAAATGTTCAAATGGTTGCTAAATTAAAATTCAGCTCCAAAAACTAGCCTAGAAACATGTAAAACTCGAAAAAGTGAACCGAGGTCACCCGAGGTCACCAAAGGTCAATGACCTGACCTGACCTTCAGGTGACCTTGACACCCATCCTAATGTATGGGAGCAACATCAAATCACATGTTTGAGCTTCTGAAACCACGAAAAGCTTGCAAACGCGCAGCTAATGCGAGCCGACATACGCCGAATCGCGATTTCGGCCAAACATGGTCACGGAAAAGAGGTCACAGGTCAAAGGTCATTGGGGTCAGGGTCATGAAATTTTCAGGGTAGGTGTAAAATTGATCAATGCGAGGGTACTGAAAGTTTCGTCGCGATCGACCGCTTTTTACGCGAGTTATTCGCGAAAAACCTTAGGGGGGGTTGCATCAACCCCCCCCCCCTGTGCCGGCGAGGGTTAAGGTGTTAACCTCGGGTCAAGGTCAGGTCAGAGCCCCTCAGGTCACGAAAATGGTTGAAGGAAGTCATATCGCATATCATTCGATTCGGCAGGTCTTCCTGAGTCCAATGGTGGCTTTCCCGACTCTCTAGCTCCATCTGATCAGGAGTTATTGACGAAAAACTTACATGGCCTTAGTGACGTCATAAATGACGTCACGCAAAGTCAACAATGCTTAAGTCAAGCACTGGACCTTGCAAGGAGTGCATGAAACCATTCCCGGTGCCCGAATAGCAGCTCCCAATTTCCCTTGTTGACTTAAAGTGGTGCTAGATCCTGTATTATACTTAATTATGACGTCATAACTTAACAGATTCACGTCATATATTTAGTGCTTGACATCCAAATGATAGCTTACATATGACAGAGAAGGTATGCAAAGTTTTATGAAGTTTGCTTCACTAGTTGTGGAATAACAAGCAAAAAACTTTTGCGGAAAGGCCGCTGGCCTCGCGCTGGAGCGTTTCCGACCAGTGTGCGCCGGCGTGGACAATACACATTCCAGACGCCGCCGTCAAAAACAGGGGGGCCGGTCTCGGCCCTCCCAGGCTGCGCGGCGGCGGAAGGGTCAGGCGGCCCGGTCAGGCCGGGCCCGGGCGGCCGGCGCCCTCGCGGCCGGCCGGTCCCGGCGGTCTACCTGGCCGGCGACGAGCCACAGCCGGTGCATATACATTCACACGTACATGCGGCGGTCACAATAGTGATCGCAATTTCTGTTCTGTGGTTGCTCTTTGGTTCTGTGGGAATGTCTCGCGAACTGTTCGATCAGAGGTTCCGGGAGTGGGAGGAAGCGTTGAGCGGCAATAACTCGAGTTGTGGAAGACGCCGAACATGGCGACGTCATCCGCTTTCTGATGGACACCAGACCAGTGGAGGAGAGGCCGCTGACGTCCAAGGAAAGAAGGTGGATGGCAACGTAACATGTTGTCGACTACAAGAAAAAAGGCAGACATTAATCTGTAAGGTGATATTTGCGAGCAAGACAAAAATAAATAGTAAGCACTAAGCTGCGAAAGAGCGTCATCAAAACACCACATCGTCTCGTTATGCAATATGCACCATTGCTGCCAAGCTTCATTGTGAGCTCTGAACCAATTCATCGCGTCTTATCTACATATGTACTCGTATATGGCTGTTGTTTCGTCGTTTTCGCATTTTACCTAGGTAGTTTGCAACAACCCTAGGGAGTTTGCAAACTAACTAGGGACTTTGCAAACTACCTAGGGAGTATGCAAACTACCTGTTCGACCAGGTACTTTGCAAACTACCTATGGAGTTTGCAAACTACCTGATCGTTCAGGGAGTTTGCAAACTCCCTAGGTAGTTTGCAAATTAACTGATTTCTCATACTCCCTGTAACATATATATCCCATATCATACATATACAAATGCAATCATCCGCGATACAGGTAACTCCGCACGAACCTCGCTCCCAACACCGACTATAGCCTACATCAACGGAAACAGGAGCTTCTGCTTAAGCCACACAGAAACTTAACGAGCACCAACGC